CCTGTTCTTGTTCCAATACCAGGCTGTTTTGACTACAGTGGCTTTTTAGTATAACTTGAAACCTGGTATAGACTTTTAAATCACGTGCCTGGCACATAGTCAATGTTATTATTAGCTAACTAGAGGCCCAGTGCACGAAATTTGTGCACGGAAGGGGAGTTTCCTCAGCCCAGCCTGCACCCTCTCCAACTAGGGATCAGGCCTAAACTGGCAGTTGGACATCCATCTCGCAGTCTGGGACCACTGGCTCCTAACTACTCACCTGCCTGACTGCCTAATCACCCCTAACTGCCTCTGCCTGTCAGCCTGATCACCCCTCACTGCCTTCCCCTGCCAGCCTGGTTGCCCCCAACTGCCCTCCCCTGCTGGCCTGATCTCGCCCCCAACTGCCCTCCTCTGCTGGCCAATTTGGTTCTGATTGGTCAGTTTCTATGCCAGTCAGTGTCAGAAGCTCCACCTCCTAGGCAGCCATTGGTTTTTTACAGCACCCACATCTGGTTCTGATTGGTTGGTTCCTATGCCAATCAACATCAAAGCTCCGCCTCCTAGGCAGCCATTGGTTTTTTACAGCACCCACATCTGGTTCTGATTGGTTGGTTCCTATGCCAATCAACATCAAAGCTCCGCCTCCTAGGCAGCCATTGGTTTTTCACAGCACCCACATTTGGTTCTGATTGGTCGGATCCTATGCCAGTAAGCATCTCTGGGCCTATTCTGGTCCTGATCAGAGAGGCGGGGCTGAACAGTAGCCCCTGCGGAGGCCAGGAGAGAAAGAAGGACCTGGCTGCTGGCGAAGCCCAGAAAGAAAGAGGGAGAGAAAGAGAGAGGCAAGTACTGATCAACAGCTGCCACTGAAGCTATGGATCAGACCCTGCCTCTCTCTCTGGGTCTCAGCCCCCTGGGCAGTCAGTGCTGGGTCACCAGGCTGCAGTGGGACAATCAGTGCTGGGTCGCCACAGCAACCTAGTGCTAACTGAAGGACTTCCGGGTTGGTCAGCCTTCGGTCATGATTGGGCGTTACAACCCTGGCCTTTTATATATTAGGTTATGAGCTTTAAGCACTTGCCTAAATAACCCAGAGTCATGGCTTATCTTTCTATAAATTCAACTTCCATATTTACTATTCCATAAGAATTCATAACTTTGATCAGGAGAATAAAATGTACCTTCAAATAGGAACTACTGAATTCTACATTAAAAATGTCCTTACATAACAGCTCTATGAAGTCAATAAAGCTCCTTACAAATCAGAAAAAAACACACACAAACTTACTGCCACTTCTGAGGGTCGGTATCAACTAGTGTTCTAGCCTGGCTCTAGGAGTTCAAGTTTGGGCCAGGCTAAGAGAAGAATATTCTTTTGTGTTTGTTTGTTTTTAATTAAATCTTTATTGTTCAGACTATTACAGTTGCTCCTCTTTTTTCCCCCCAAAGCTCCCCTCCACCTGGTTCCCACCCCACGCTCTGCCTTTACCCCCCGCCCCCCACTGTCCTCATCCATAGGTGTATGATTTTTGTCCAGTCTCTTCCTGCACCCCCCACACCTGAGAATAGTCAATCCACTCCCTTTCTATGCCCCTGATTCTATTATATTCACAAGTTTATTCTGTTCATCAGATTATTTATTCACTTGATTTTTAGATTCACTTGTTGATAGATGTGAATTTGTTGTTCATAATTTGTAACTTTAGCTTTTTCTTCTTCTTTCTCTTCTTAAAGGATACCTTTCAGCATTTCATATAATGCTGGTTTGGTAGTGATGAACTCCTTTAGCTTTTTCTTATCTGTGCAGCTCTTTATCTGACCTTCAATTCTGAATGATAGCTTTGCTGGGTAGAGTAATCTTGGTTGTAGGTTCTTGCTGTTCATCACTTTGAATATTTCTTGCCACTCCCTTCTGGCCTGCAAAGTTTCTGTTAAGAAATCAGCTGACAGTTGTATGGGTATTCCCCTATAGGTAACTAACTTTCTCTTGCTACTTTTAAGATTCTCTCTTTGTCTTTTGCTCTTGGCATTTTAATTATGGTGTGGTCCTCTTTGGATTCTTTTTGTTTGGGGTTCTATGTGCTTCCTGGACTTGAAAGTCTATTTCTTTCACGAGGTAGGGGAAGTTTTCTGTCATTATTCCTTCAAATAGTTTTTCAATATCTTGCTCTCTCTCTCCTTTTGGCACCCCTATAATTCGGATGTTGGTACGCTTGAAGCTGTCCCAGAGGCTCCTTACACTATCTTTGTATTTTTGGATTCTTTTTTCATTTAGCTTTTCTGGTTGGGTGTT